GTCAACATTATTGAAAATATAAAAAGAAAAATATAAAATTACTATGTTTTTAAGGTAAATAACATTATCTACGTAATTTAAAAATGCGATTAAATAAGTGTAAATTGGGAGAAATTTTCACTTTTTCTCTAAAGTCTTAAAAAAACCTTGAAAATTTGAGAGTTTTTATTCCTTCTTACTTTCCCCTTATTGATACCATTGAAAATCTTTAGAAAAATCTCAAAAATCACATTTCATGAATTAAATTACAAAAAATAAAATTATTATCAAGAATCTTACTTTTCACAAATCAAATGATTCCTTAGAAAATTGAAATTGAAATTACACTTTACCAAATCCTTTGAATTTGAAAGTTTTTTTTTTTTAATTATTAAGAACAAATTTGGCAATGCATTAGAGTTGATGTTGACTTTTACTATTGTATTTCTATTTTGTTGATTTTTTATTTTATTTTTAGTATAAAGTAACATAATTAATGAAAAATTATTATTTATATTAATAGGAGTTTCATGAAATATTTTATTTTGATTAATTTTTTTCAAGTCAATAAAATTGATATTTCAATGACAAAATTTATCATTTCATTAATATAGTATTTTAATTTTATTATTTTATATTTTAAAAATAAATAAAATTTAATATATAATTCAAATTTCAATAAATTATAATTTATTGATCAAATTTATTATTAAATTATAATATAATATAAATTGATAAATTGTCTAACCTATTGTCAATGAAGTTTTCAAATTCCATAAAGTAAAATTAAAAAGTAGCACGTACTCTTTATGATACATTAGAAAATTAAAAAAATAAGACATGATAATATTTAACTATGAAATTAAAAAATTACTTTACAGTGTACCATAGTTACCTCTAATAAATTTTATCTTTATCCTTTTTTGGATTTTTTTTTACCTCTAAATTTGTGGGTCAAAAGTAAAAAATTAAAACGTTGTCGGGGCAAGATTATTGAATAATAATCATTACATAAACAAGAATTAATATACATCATTGATTAATTTTTTAATTGTAAAAATAATTAATTACCTATTAACTTAATTTTAATTCATTAACATTAAATATTATTTATTAAATAAAATAAAAATAATTTTAAAACTACTAAGATTCTTCTTTTTTTTATTATCTTAGTTATGATTTTTTTTCTCTAGCTTTTTTTTTTTATATATATTTTGTTTCTTTATTGACTTATAGTTTTTTTATTAATTTTTCTTTTTTTTAGGTTTTTGGGAATTCGAGCTATTGTGCTAAACCCAAAAAATAATTCTAAATCGATAAATAAGTATTAACATAAAAATTTAAGAATAATCGTAAAATTGATATCATTGAGCATAAAATATGTTAAAAGTATCGTAACATAAAAAGTTGAAAATAGTTATAAAATTTGTATCATTTGACGTAAAATAAGTTAAAAATATCGTAATACCCTAACAAAGAGTTTCAATAATTTTAAACATAATGAAAAGTAACAACAATTATAAAAATTTATTATTGCAACATAAATAATTAAGTTGGCAACATAAAAAAAATTTATTATTACAAGTAAAAAATAATTTTAAATAAAAAAAAAGAGTTAACATAAAATAGTGAGAATAATCATAAAATTGTGAGAATAATCATAGAATTAGTATTATTTAACGTAAAATTGTTAGAAGTATCATTACACCTTAGAAAAAAATTATAATAATTATAAACGTAATAAAAAATACTAATAAATGTAAAAAGATATTATTGAAACATAATAACTTAGTAACGTAAAAAAAATTAGTATTATAAATAAAATATAATTTTAAACCAAAAAATAAGTGTTAACATAAAAAAGTGAGAATAATAGTAAAACTGGTATTATTTGACATAAAATATGTTAGAAGTATCGTAACACTTTAAGAAAAAATTGTGATAATTTTAAATATAATAAAAAATAAGAACAAGTGTAAAAGATTTTATTGTAACGTAAATAATTCAATTGACAATATGAAAAAAATTATTATAAGTCAAAAGTAATTCTAAACAAAAAAAATACGTGTTAACATAAAAATGTGAGAATAATTGTAAAATTAAAATAATTTGGCGTAAAGTATATTAGAAGTGTCGTAACATAAAAAGATAAGAATAATTGTAAAGTTGGTGTCACTTAGCATAAATTAGATTAGAAGTGTCGTAACAATCTAACAAAAAGTATTAATAATTATAAATGTAATAGAAAGTAGAAACAAACATAAAAAAAATATTATTGTAACATAAATATTATTTTTGGCACATAAAAGAATAATTATTAGAAATAAATAATAATTCTAAACCAAAAAATAAGTATTAATATAAAAAAGGTGAAAGTAATTGTAAAATTAGTATTATTTGGCATAAAATGGTTAGAAATGTCACAACACCTTTAAGAAAAAATTATGATAATTCTTAATATAATGAAAGGCAACAACAAGTGTAAAAAAAAATTATTATAATATAACTAATTAAGTTGGTAATGTAAAAAAATTATTATTACTAGTAAAAAATAGTTTTAAACAAAAAAAAATTGTTAATATAAAACAGTGAGAATAATCATAAAATTAGTATTATTTGATGTAAAATAGTTAGAAGTATCATTACACATTAACAAAAAATTGTAATAATTTTAAGCGTAATGAAAAGTAACAATAAACGTAAATAGATACTATTTAAATGTAATAAATTTGTAATGTAAAAAAATTAGCATTATAAATAAAAAATAATTCTAAACCAAAAAATAATTATTAAAGTAAAAATATGAAAATAATTATAAAATTAGTATAATTTGACATAAAATATGTTTAAAGTGTAGTAATACTTAAAAAAAAGCTATAATAATTCTAAATATAGTAAAAGGTAAGAATAAATATAAAAAAATTTATTGTAATGTAAATAATTAATTGATAATATAAAAAATTATTATAAATAAAAAATATTTTGAACCAAAAAATAAGTACTAATGTAAAAATATAAGAATAATCGTAAAATTGGTATAATTTAACGTAACTATGTTAAAAGTATTGTAATGTAAAAATGTGAAAATAACCATAAAATTGATATTGTTTAGCATAAAATGGGTTAAAAGGGTTGTAATATCTTAAGAAAGAATTGTGATAATTTTAAATATAATAAAATGTACGAAAAAGTGTAAAAAATATTATTGTAATGTAAATAAATAACTTGGTAATGTAAAAGAATTATTATTATAAATACAAAATAATTCTAAACAAAAAATAAATGTTTATGTAAAAGATGAGAATAATTATAAAATTAGTATATTTTATTTAAAATGATTAGAAATGTTGTAACACCCTAAAAAAAAGTTGTGATAATTTTAAATATAATAAAAAGTAAGAACAATCATAAAAAAATATTATTGCAGTGTCAATAATTAAGTTGACAATGTAAAAAGATTATTATTATAAATAAAAATAATTCTGAACACAAAAAGAATGTTAAAGTTAAAAATTGAAAATAGTCATAAAATTAGTATCATTTGATGTAAAATAAGTTAGAACTATTATAATACCATAAGAAAGAGTTGTGATGATTTTAAATGTATAAAATGTAAGAACAAACATAAAAAAAAAATTCTCACGTAAATAATTAAGTTGGAAACATAAAAGAATTATTATTATAAATAAAAAATAATTCAATCAAAAAATAAGTGTTTATGAAAAAAAATTAGAATAATCGTAAAATTTTTATCATTTGGCATAAAAGTATATTAAAAGTGTTTTACACCTTAAAAAAGTCATAATAATTTTAAACATAATGAAATATAAAAACAAGTGTAAAGATATATTATTATGATGTAAATAATTAAATTGATAATGTAAAATTTATTATTATAAATAAAAAATAATTCCAAACAAAAAAAAAAGTGTTAACCTAAAAAGTAAGAATAATCATAAAATTTATATAATTTTATGTAAAATGGGCTATTGCTATCTTAATACCTTAAGAAAAAATTATGACAATTCTAAACAAAACGAAAAATAAGAATATGCAGAACAAAAAAATTAAAGTAAAATAAATAATTAATTTGATAATGTAAAAGAATTGATATTTTTAAATTAAAAGATTTTAAATAAAAAATTATTAACGTAAAAATATGTAATTAATTAGACGTAAAATGTGTTTGTAATAACTTATTCCCAAAAAAAAAAAAATTTTAATAATTGTAAATGTAATAATAAGAAAAGCATAAAAATATACTATTAAACGTAATTAATTAGTTTGATTTTATAAAATAAATTGGAATTTTAAAATTAAAAAATATATCATTTTTATTTATTAAATTAATAAATTAAATAAAATTATATATACCTTTTTTAATGTTTATTTGTTAATCTATTTTTTTTTATTTTTTAATTTTATAAAAAATTATATTATTTTTATAATTTATCATGATATATCATAAGATATCATAATATCATATAATCCAAATTTAAAATGAATATATTACCACCTTATCTTAGACAAACCTGTTTGGCTAGATCTATGGTCTGATTTTTCCTTTTTAAATTTCATATTTTTCCTTTTTCTTTGTCCATATTGCAGTTGGAGCTCTTCCGGTCTTTCTTAAAACCTCTCCCTCGAAAATCCAGCCACTCCTCGCAACCTTCTCCGCCGCTTTGGCTGAGTGCCGCAACCTTCCTTAACGCCCAAGTGCCGCCACTCCCGACTTCCATCATTATTTATTATTGATTATTGACGGAGGCAATTATAAAGAAATATCAGCAGAAATTCAGAAAAGCAAAAGATGAAATAAGTATATGGGATGAGCTTCAATCTCGCTTAATTTCTCAGTTTAGAAATGCTTCTTCCATTATTGCCAGATTAGAGGTCTAACTTAAAATTTTCCTATCTCAACTTCTCTTCCTTTTTTTTTTTATTTCTTAAATAAAATTTTTAAAAGGTTTTTTTTTAATTTTTTTGTGATAAGGTTATTCAAATCCAAAATATTATGCAAGTTTAAATTCTGTTGGAGGCATTGAAGATGCAGTGTTGCAAAAGCAGATGGATTCTTTGCAAACCATTGTAATTTCTATGAAATACCATGTAAGAGTAAGTGTTTATGTCTAATTAATTTTGAGTTTTTCTTTGACTGTAATATTTGCTCTTTGCTTTTTGGAATCAAAATAATGCGATTAGATATGGAAATAAACTATAGTTTTGAGTAATTAAAAGTTGAAAACTAAAATTTTTGTAAATATATATAATGCCCATGAGGCCATTACTTTGTTTTTATAGGGAAAGGTTCTGTTACATTTTGATAATTTACACATTTTTAATGAAACGCAGAAACAGTATGATTTTGCAATTGGGGAATTAAAAAACAGAGAGAAATAACACTAACCAAATGAAGTCTTGATTACAAACAAGACTAAAACCTTGTTGAGGGAAGAATTTCAAGACCTAGAGATTGTTTTTATGTATTTATGTTTTAACTTTAATTCTAAAACAATTTTCAGGGAAGAATTTCGCATGGTTGTTCTTTCCCTCGAGAAGCTCCAACATGATGGTAAACAGCTTGCAAAAGGTTGTTCTAATCAGATGAGCACGAAACAACTGCAGCAGAGAATTGGTGTAAAACTCTTTCCTACAAATTGCATAGATGGGCTTATGCTTCTACATGAAATTCACTTTGCTGAGTATTGAACAATCTATCTTTCAAAAGTTTTTACAGAATGGCTTTTATTTACTGCTTTCTATTTTATTTAGGCGAAATGGTACAATTATGATTTTAGGGACTATTCATGTTTTGGTGGATTTATTATGTTTGTACATTCCACTATATGAAGTCTTAAGCACAGCTTTGATTAACACTTTGGTTTAATTCAAATTAGTTTAGATTTTGAATGACTGATTTGTTTTTCAATTTCTGTTTGTCAGATACGTTCTCATATCATCATTGGTTTCAGTGCTTTCTGCACTTGCCTTAAAACATAAGTCAATAAGATTCAGCTGGTCTCCTTTCTCCCTTTTAGATATTGAGTCATGTGAAACACAAAATCATTTGTTGAAATTGCCTCAATGAAAGTTATTATGGGGCTGTGATCCTATCTAAAGTTTTATTTTGAAAATGTGCTACTTTCTTCTTTTTAAAAAATGTTTCTTGGGGAAGGGGGATTTTAAAACTATGAATCCACCTTGTGACCTTTGAATCCCCGACTTCTCAATTTATTTTTAGTTCATGCTTTGTGATAAATAAGTGTAATCTCTGTTATTATATTTATGGACACTTTAGTTTGTTAAATAAGTCTATTTTAGCTTGCATTCTTCTTGATACGTAATATTTTCTGCTTGTCTTTTCCTACAGGAACATATAAATTTTTTTCACTTGTCTCTTGGTTTCCTAAAATAAGTTTATTTTGTGGAAATTGAATATATATTGAAAAACTGCTTCTTTTCAATTGTACAAGAATCTTAGGTTTATATACAACTAACTAAGGGTTAAACTAGGAAACTAAATCTTTCTTAATTCTAGGGATATAAATACTTAATTCTAGAGATACAAATATAAATATACAGATTACAAGATTACAACCAGCTGTAAATAAGTGTTTTCCCACACTCCCCCTCAAGCTGGTGAATAGGTGTTTTCCATTCCCAGCTTGGAAATAATTTCTTGAAATGTTGCACTGCTGAGACCTTTAGTCAACATATCTGCAAGTTGACCCTTGGTTGATACATAAGGTGTACAAATCAACCCACTATCTAGTTTCTCCTTTATGAAATGCCGGTCTACTTCAATGTGTTTTGTTCTGTCATGTTGCACAGGATTGTGTGCAATGCTTATTGCAGACTTGTTATCACAGTAGAGTTTCATTGGTCCATCCCACTTGATCTTCAAGTCTTCTAGGATAATCTTTAACCATAGTAGTTCACAAATTCCTTGAGCCATTGCTCTGAACTCTGTTTCAGCATTTGATCTTGCCACCACATTCTGTTTTTTACTCCTCCAAGTCACAAGATTACCACCTAAGAAAGTGCAGTAGCCTGAGGTAGATCTTCTATCAGTTACTGAACCTGCATAATCAGCATCTGTATATGCTTCTAGAACTAACCCCGAATCTCAATAAGATACCTCTCCCAGGATTGGCTTTCAAATAGTGCAATATACGGTAGACAGCCTGTAGGTGCACTTCTTTAGGACTATGCATAAATTGACTTACCACACTCATAGCATATGCTATATCAGGTCTAGTATGTGAGAGATAAATGAGTCTTCCAACTAATCTTTGGTACATCTCTCTATTTACAGCAGCATCTTCATTAGCTTCTCCAATTTTATGATTAGGATCTATAGGGGTATTTGCAGGTTTACATGCAAGCTTCCCAGTTTCCTTCAGAAGATCCATCACATATTTCTGTTGTGAGATAAAAATACCATGCCGTGAGTGAGCTACTTCAATTCCTAGGAAGTACTTCAATCTCCCAAGCTCTTTTATCTCAAATTCTCTAGCCAAACACTGTTTTAGAGATTCTCTCTCTTTTTCATCATCTCCAGTTACAATTATATCATCAACATACACTAATAGAACTGTGACTCTCCCTGAATCAGAGTGCTTGATAAACAATGTGTGATCTCCTTGACTCTGTTTATATCCCATTGCTAGCATCACTTTGGCAAATCTCCCGAACCAAGCTCTAGGAGACTGTTTAAGGCCATATAAAGCCTTTTTTAGCCTGCATACTTTGTTTGCTTCTAGATGACCTCCAAATCCTGATGGAACCTTCATATATAGTTCTTCTTCCAAATCACCATGTAAAAAAGCATTCTTTACATCAAATTGTTGAAGCTGCCAATTGTAATTTGCAGCCAATGATAACAAAATCCTAACTGTATTCATCTTGGCAACTGGAGCAAAGGTTTCCTGATAATCCACTCCATAAGTCTGAGTGTAACCCTTAGCCACTAACCTGGCTTTATACCTTTCAACAGTACCATCTGTCTTGTATTTTACAGTGAAAACCCATTTACACCCCACTGAATTTTTTCCTTTAGGCAACTCTACCAGTTCCCATGTTTGATTTTTCTCTAAGGCCTCCATTTCTATTTTCATGGCTTGCCTTCATTTCTCACTGGATAATGCCTCGGATAATGTAGTTGGAATAGAAATAGTGTTTAGGCTCACAAGAAAATTTTTGTGGGATGGTGAGAATTTTTCAAATGACACAAAATTAGATATTGGGTATAGTGGATGCTTGGTACATTCTCTGGTTCCTTTCCTAATGGCAATAGGCAAATCATAATCACTAGTTATAGTTTTAGGAGATTCATGCTCATTTTGAGAAGCAGAGTCAAAAACTGTAGTTACCTCATTTCTAGAGTTAGGATCAGGTTCTTGGACTGGCACTGGTTCAGGATCTGGAACTTTCCTTCTTGAGTACACCTATAATTCCTTCATAGAATCAAAAACAATATTATCCTTTGTCACATCTTCCGTATTTGGAATGGGTTCAGACTCAAATTCAATGTTTGACTGGGGCTCAGCAGAAACAGGTTTCGACTTATAAGAATTAATGGGTGTAAATGTTGAAGAAGGGGGCAAATCAAGCAAAAAGAAGTCTTTATCCTTATCTTCCATGAATGAAGTCTCCCCCTGAAGATAATGTTGAGTAAAAAATAGTTTATTTTCTTCAAAAGTGACATCTGCAGACACATAAAATTTTTTGGTAGGCGGATGATAGCACTTATATCCTTTTTGAGTTGAAGAATGCCCCACAAAAATACACTTAATCGCTCTTGGATCCAAATTTTTCCTGTTTTGACTGTGAACATGAACAAATGATGTACAACCAAATATCCTAGGTGTGAGATTGTTTGTGGTATTGAGGTTGGGATAAAATTGTGAGAGTAGTTCCATAGGAGTTTTAAATCCCAAAACTCTTGAAGGTAACCTATTTATAATGTGTGTGGCAGTGAGAATAGCTTCCCCCCAATAAGATTTAGGTACATTTGCTTGAAAAAGAAAGGCTCGGGTTGTGGCTAATAAATGGTTGTTTTTTCTCTCTGCCACTCCATTCTACTGTGGAGTATTAACACAAGATGACTCATGGATAATCCCCTCTTTTTGGAAATAGGTGGATAGACTCTGGTTGAAGTGGTCTCTTGCATTATCAGACCTAAATCTCTTGATTCTTACTCCAAATTGATTTTGGATCATGTTTTGGAAGCTTAAAAACACACTATTCACATTTGATTTGGATTTAAGTAAAAAAACCCAAGAGACCCTAGTACAATCATCTATGAATGAAACAAACCATCTCGCACCAGAAATATTAGGAATTATAGAGGGACCCCAAATGTCACTATGAATCAAGTAAAAGGGAGTATAACTTCTTTTGTTACTGATTGGAAAAGACACACGTCTATGTTTTGCAAATTCGCAAATATCACAATGAAAATCTTCAACATTTAATTCTTTGAACAAAGAAGGAAACATGTTTCTCAAGGTTCCAAAAGAAGGATGTCCAAGACGAAAATGATAAAGCCAGATTTTGTCTTTATTGGAACATTTTTTAGAAAGAAATGACAAAGGTAAACTATTTTTGATACTACTTGTGTTATTTGATGTCTTAAGATAGTATAGTCCATCCTTCTTCTTAGCAAGTCCAATCATCTTCCCTGAATTCTGGTCCTGAAATTCACAATAAGAGGGATAAAAAGTTACTTTGCAATTCATATCTCTGGTAAGTTTTTGTATAGATATAAGATTAGTAGACAATCCAGGAACATGAAGAACATTTTTTAGAACAAACGAGGGATTAACTTGAACATCTCTTAATCCTGCTGCTGTGGTAAGTGAACCATCAGCAACAACAATTTTCTTATTACTAGGACACAGGTTATATGTATTAAACTTTTGTGGGGAATGTGTCATGTGGTCTGTGGCTCCTGAGTCAATGACCCAAGAACTCGTAATAGGCTTAGCCGAGACATTTAATCCATGAGAACCGGAAGCTTTACCTGAACTAGAAACTTTACCCAAAGAATATACCATAGTAGGCTTTTCAAGGATTTTCAATAAGTTTCTCAGCTTTTCAATCTCTTCCCTGTTGAGCTCTCCTTGTTTCTGAGACATCTGTAGTACTCCAGTAATTTTTTCAGTTAACATTTCCTCAAATTGGGTGATAGTGATATCTTTCTTTGAAAAGGTTCGGCAATGAAGGCCTAAACAGGATTCGACAATGAAGGCCTAAAAAAGTCGGCAATGAAGGCCTAAAAAAGTCAGCAATGAAGGCTGAAAATTTTTCTTCCCAAGAAAAGCCTAAAGCTCTGATACCATGTGGAAATTGAATGTATATTGAAAAACTGTTTCCTTTTAATTATACAAGAATCTTAGGTTTATATACAACTAACTAGGGGTTAAACTGGGAAACTAAATCTTCCTTAATTCTAGGGATACAAATACTTAATTCTAGAGATACAAATATAAATATACAGATTACAAGATTACAACTAGCTGTAAATAAGTGTTTTCCCACATATTTAACTTATGATGAAAGGAATTGCTTTTAGTACATTCTACAATCTGAGGCTTTATAATCATAATGTCTACTCTTGATGGTGCAGTTCAAGTGATCTAGGTGCACTCGAGCAACTCTTAGTTGATCAACCAAATAGAATAAAAGAAGAGGGTACATTATGGATAAAGTTTGCTCCATTTCTTTTTGTGTATACACACACACACACAAATATATGTTTGCACACATATATATACACATATATGTGCGCCCACACACACACACACACACACATATATATATATGTGCATGTATGTATGTGTTTATGTATAGCTTTTGTTACCTTCAGTTTTTTTCTTTTGTTTTTTTAAATTACCTTGATTTGTTCATGAATATTTGATTTGTGCATTATAATAATAAACGGGTAATTCCGAATAAGCCCTCGAATTTTATTAGAAAGTGTAAGTAAACCTTCAATGTTTTTGTTGCACACAATTAAGATTATGAACTTTCATTTCATTGTAATTCGAACCTTGATGTTGCAGAATAATCCATGTTTGAACTAGATTACTTGGATTTATTTGGATGAGCTAGATTACAAATATTTTAGGGAATGCTATTTTAATAATTCTGGCAATTGGACTATAGTCTCCAATTTTTAGATTTAATGGGTATTATTGCAATAAAATAAAAGTTCATAACTTTAATTCCATGCAATAAACGATTGATGACTTATTTCCATTTTTTATAAGGTTCATATTGGGTATTATCCCTAATAGGAATCAATTTCTTAAAACTATATCTATTAGGACAGATACTAATATTGATAGGTGGAGATTGTTGTGTTCTACCTGTGGGATTTGCTGGGTTATCGAGTTAACTTGCTATAAAAGCA